GACATCATTCAACCCTCTGTAGTCAATACAGAGATGCAACTCACCTTCCTTTTTGGGCACAAACAAGACAGGGGCACCATAAGGAGAGGAGCTAGGGCGAATCCATCCTTTTTCTGTTAAGTCTTGCAGTTGTTTTCGCAATTCCTCAAGTTCCCTATGAGACATTCGATATATAGGGCCCTTGGGAATCTTGCTGTCAGGAATAATTTCAATTGTGTGCTTGATAGCACGTTCATTTATTCCTGTTGGTTCAGTGAATAAATCTTTATATTCGCTTAGGATTTTTTCAGTTGAAAGAGGATAGGAAGTAGAAAACTCACCTGCTTTCTTTACGAAAACCATCATTACTTCCTGTTCCAACTTTTTCTTTGAAACCATCGATCGGAATGCTGGATAACTCATACAACAGAAAGGCGGACTAGAGTCAGAGTCAGACTTATGGTACAGTTTGATAGGTTTCAATTCAGAGTGTGCATCTCGCAATTGCACAATTTTCTCTTTGAAATTGATATCTGGGTTGACTTCCTCGTGCCAATCCATTCCCAGAATCAAATCAAAAGGTAATTTCTTCTCCACAAGAAAGGAAACCTCGTGAACAATCTTTTTTCCTTCCTTGGTACGGAATCGACACTTCACACGATCAACATATTGCGAGACAATGATCGTGCTTTTGACAGCTAGGATAGACGTGATTGGTCGCGATAGATTATTTACCTTCTTTCCGAGATGCAACTTGCGGATTGCTTTCTCGGATATATAGGATCGCGTTGATCCTGAGTCCAATAGTGCACCTGTGTGGGTATGTGCAATCTCTACATCCGCGAGTAGTAGGTCACCCTTAGACTTTGATTTCTTAACCCACGAGCTTCATAATGCCAGCAACTCGTTACCAAGCTCGTCACGAGAGTCGTCGAGAGAGACAGTGCATAAGACAGGTTCAGGGTGTTTTGAACGATGGGCCGAAGAAGAACAATCCTCTGCCATGCGAGTCAAAGGGTTGGAAGGGATCGTAGGCGCCTTACCTTCTTCTTGGTCCAAGCCCTTTAACTCAGTAGGAGCAGATGCTACGTCTACTGGCTGCTCGCTTTTGGGTTCCGAATAAGTGGGCACCAAGCAATCACGTGCCCTGCGGTACCGCATTTTAGACATTGCGCATTGTTCATTCTTTCCTGCCATAATTCCTGTGAAATTCCCATCTTTCCCCACGGCCCCCCGGCCGCAATTCCGGGATGCTCGGGAAACGAGTGTGACTTCTTCTTCTTTCCTGGTGGTCGTGGTCCTCCCTTGTTGACCACGACAGCAGTGACTTCCCCCTTCCCGGAATCACTGCTGCTCGCCACACCCTCGGCCTCCAATGGCCACTTCTTCACAGTATCGTCATCAAAGACGACGAGGGTGTGGTTCTGGCGCTTTTGGCGCTAGAGTACCCGCTTGCCTACACCTACGCCTCCTCTACCGCCATACTTTACTACAGAGGCATACGAGTTCTTTACTTGTGAAGTCATTTGCTCTCGATGGAGAGCCAAATCGTGAAACTGCCTATAATTGTACTTTCCGGATTTCAATTCTGCCACGAGTTGTCCACGAATGGGCTCGGGCAGAGTGAGGGAATAGATATACAGAACTTGGTTATCTTGCAAGTTCAATCCAGAAACCTGCAACAACCGATCAACTTCTCGAGACAGTGCTTCCACTGAGGTCCAATGTCTTTGTCCAATGGTGGTGAGCTGATCAAAGGCCTTATCGGTTGTTGTCTTATCCAAAAAGCGTTCCTTGATCTTGCAAAGGAACTGCCTCAGGTTCAATGTCGCAGCCCACTCACCAATGTCATCGAAACCTGCAGCGTTGGCTTCAGCTAGTACCCATTCCTTTGCTTCCCCCCCTAAACAAGAAGTGGAGAAAGCAACTTGGGATTCGGGTTCGACAGGGGTCGTACTACAGTACGTCTGAATTTCTGCTATCCATAGCAACAAATTCTCATCCTTTTTATTGCAAAACGTAAAAGGCAATTTCATCTTCACTTTTTCTTTTCTTTTCGGCTTCTCCGGTTCCGTACTTACCTTACCTTGCGGAGAAGTTGGAGGCTTTGGAGGTGGAGAGGAAGGAGGTGTGGAAGGAGGAGTGTTCGGTGGATAAGACGGTGGACTCGGTCCTCCTCCATTAGTCGTCTTCTGATCTTGAGGAACAACAAACTTCATCGCATCACTCATTAACTTTTTGACTTCTTTCTTGTCTTCCTTCACCTCTTCTTTTTCTTCTATCGGATGCTTCCCTTTCACAATGTTTGTGACAGTTCGCAATCCTACAACAATTTCGTCTAACTGGCTTTGCTGTCTGTCAATCTTCTCTTCCAAGAAGGTGAGGTAAGTCATGATGTGATACATTGTCTGTGTCATGTCAGTCTGTTCCTTCCCTTCTGATCCTATCACTTGTCTGATTTCGTTCACTTTTTGTTCCCGTCTTAGTTCCTGTTCATGTTTCCGGGCTAGTTCTTCTTTCTTCCTTTCTTCCGCAGCCAGCGCCTCTCTTAATTGCTGGATGTTTGCGTCAATCGTAGCCTCGGTTCCTTCTGGTCCGATTTCCCCTTTCCTAGATGATTCCATGACTTCTTCCAGCTGCTTGATAACAAACTGGTCCAGCGCCTTCCGGCACTGAGCCATCATTTTAGACACTTCGGCACCGGCAGCTACAACTTCCGCGGTCGTAATTGCTTGCTTCAGACGGTCCTCTACCGTCTTTAAATCAAACAGATTACGAACGTGTCGTTCAACATCCGGTCCGGACATATGCAAATCATTCAACAACTGGTTCCATAGAGCCAGTAACTCTTGTTTCTTTGTTTCCGCCTGTCTCCTAGTCTTGGGTTCGGAAGACCCTTCACCCGTTAAGAATGTCATTGGAAAAAGAAGCAAGAGTAATTTCAACACACCAAACATCTTGGAAATCAGGTTAGAGACAATATTTGCAATAATGGAACAGAAAAATAAAAATAAATAATAAAAAGGAACAGATCTCTACTTATACTAATTGCTGTTCTTTCGTTTGCGTGATGACGTCCTATGAGTGTACAGGTACCACGTCAGGCCCATGTGATCAGACACAACACACAAGTAAGTACGCAAGCACCACAACACAACAACGACAAGGTAAGTATGCCAACAACAACAACAAACAATTTGTCAGCAACCTTTTTCAATCCGCTGTGTCTTCCTGGTGTCAGTGCGATGATGCACTCTCCCGGACAACTGGCACTACAACTGTATAGTTGATTCAGTCAGATGTACCGCCGTCGTCTTCAGAATGCTTCTCTTACTTGGCAGTAATCCTGCCTGCCACGTGTCATCCCTGGAGTGCCAACATAGCATGTACTGCCACGTCAGCACTCTGTACCACAATGTCGAGTCAACCAATAGCGGGATGCCACGTCAGCAAATGTGTACTCTGATCCTTCCCACGTGCCACTTCCACGCGTCACGTAGCGATACCGTCGCCGTTCCAACCAGTTAGACAATGCCACGTCAGCCAAGAGACCGATGCCACGTCAGCATGTAGTCACCACCTCACGGAGACAGGTGTGATGACTTGCTTCCTGCCACGTCAGCAATCAATCCTGTGTCCCAAGGCCACGTCAGCATCTGCAGTAGACCCTGTTGCGCGTCAGTAGCATAAAAGTGCCACCTCAGTAATCAATCAACAAGGTCTTCAGACGCGGCATAACATATGCCACGTCAGCAGGGGATCGCGATGCCACGTAACTATCGCTATCCAGTCTGGCGTGCGGTACCTCTTGGTTGCGGTCCCTATTGCCACATCAGCAGCCTCATGGGGATCTTCTCTCGCCAGTGAAACAACACCAGCGGTGTCTTCTCGCCAGTGAAGTCTGTGCCACGTCAGCACCCCCGGCGTATCTCTTGACACGTCATCACCTATTCAACACACGTGTGCACCACACTTACCTGTGCGCCACGTGTACAATCGTCGTCGTCATGAGAACTGCTCTGATACCAAATTTCAATGAACCCAGATTGTGAAGACAGTCATCAACAATGCAAGCCCGGATGAATGTCAAACAGCTGATGATTATCAATAGTCAAAATCGTATCCAGACAGAATGAGATGAGATATCATGCACAGACGAAGAGAGAGGAAGGAGATTAGACAAAGGAGAGGAAATAGGCCCACTCCTGCTTCGGGCTCCCTCCTCAATCACCACCTCAGTCAATAGTCTGAACAAGTATCTGAAGTAATCTCAATGTG